AAAGTCTGTTGGCTATGCTTTGTGTATTCAGTCTCCCGATTTTATAGTGGGTTTTTTTGGCTCTGGTGCCCTGTGAAGTCAAATTAATTGAAGGAAGCATGAAAACAGTTTTTTTTATGTTCTTTGTATTATTTTTAAGTTTGCCAACCTCATTGATATGGGTTGTTTATGTTGTTTTTCTTTCTTAATGTGGAAAGGTTTGTGTGGATTTTTGAATGCTGTTATTTTTGCAATTTGTGAGCACAGTATTTGTTAAAGGAGCTTTTAATAAGGGTTCTTTGTGCACTTTTAAGAAAAGATCTTGCTGGAGCTCATGGACTGAAGGAGTGTACGTGTGCATGGTTCTGTGGGTTACTGTGCTTGTCATTTTTTTTGTGCAACTGTGTGTGAGAGAAATGGAAGCTTGCTGATCGAGACAAAGAGATTGAGAGATAGAAAGAGAGATGTGGAGAGAAAGAGAGAGGGAGAGAGAAGGATGATAAAAAAAGAAAATATTTTACAGTCTGCTTGTCAATTTTCAGACGGAGAAAAGTTGTAAATAGGTCATGGTGATGGGACAATTGGGACTATTTACATCTATGTTTTGGTGATCTTTGTTTTTCATGAATATGTATGTGGACCGTCACATTCCCTTAGATTCTTGAGATGAATGTCTTTGTCATTTTAATGTTTCTTAGACTTCTGATGAACCACCGAAATATAGCAGCTGACATACTCACTTCATCTACTTCAATGTGTTGTATGCTTTCCTGGAATGAAGAGAGTACACATCACTGTTCTTTTGTGGGCATTGTTGATTGATCTGAACAATCTTCTGTTGCAATGTATTAAGTCTTGCGAGAGAGGAGAAACGAAGAAAATAAAAGGCTACTTTCACTGTTTTTTTGGGGTTTTTTAAATAAAAAAAAACAAACCATGGTGTTATTTTACTTGCAGCTATAGAGTGGGTAGCGTAAACACGGCCTCGCTGCCTTCCAAACACATGGTTTCGATGAGATTGGAGTAATTCGAATCACTATTTCTTTGCTGGTTAGCTGCATCTGTCTCTGTAGTTTTGGAGTTTCCTTTGACAAGCTGTATAAAGCATTAAATGACTTGGCATTCTTCCCATGGATCTTATTGTGATGGCTTCAGTTTGGGGGTGTGTTGTTTTTTTCAACACACATTATATTAAAGCCACAATTGATTATCATGTACAGCTTCTTTGAGTTTCATTCTTATGTTGTAGCCATTTTTTATTTGGTTCTAACGTTTCATTTTGTGCAACTTAATTCTTCCGGATGAACTTTTCCTAATACATCTACGTGCTCTGGTGTCATCTGCTCTGCTAACTTAACTTTGATGAAGTGTGTCCTTTAATTGTTCTTTTTTGGTGAAAACTACTTAACTACATCTGTACTCTTCAACTCAACAAATCTTCTGTAAGGATCATGGGGGAGGGGATGGTTTTTTTCCTTCTAATACAGACACAAGCAGGTAAGGTCTTAGGAAAACCTTTTGTCTGACATCTCTTACCCTGATTCTGGAACCTGCTCCTGCTGACGTGTTTGTTGATGTATCCATTTGCTTATTAAATTGTTACATTGATTAAATTATTTGATACAAATTCATGCTAGAGCAACATTCTTGCTGACTGAAAAAATATAAATAAGTGACTGTCAGTGTCAGAGTGTTTGATTATGTGCCTTTGTATTGGTTCCAATTTATTGACTGCCGTATCTTAGTACAGACCCATCTAAACACTCTTAGTCTTTGAATCAAAAGACTCATCCGCCTTCTTATTGGTAAAAACACCTTTATCATAGCAAAATCCCTGCTCTGTCTTCAGTTTCTGAAAAGGGAGCATACAAACCAGTTAAACACAAAGTATCTGAGATATCATTAAGCCTACAGTATTATCTAGAATGTGACCAATTGTTTTATTGTCCATTGATGCGATGGAAATATACGAAGGAATGGTCAGAAGACCTCAGTTTCGTGACTGCAAATATGACTTGGTCTGGTGTGATCATGGGAACCTAGCATGTTTCTTTCAGTGTCTGTCAAATGGGATCAGTCGGAGACACTATACTGTTGGGAAAGGAAAGTCTGCTTCTGAAAGCGATTGAAATTTTGACTGACATGAGAGTCCGCTTAAACTGAGCAAGGTTAATCCGAAAAAAGGAGTAAACCAAAAGAACATGAATTCCCCATTACAAATTTTTGGGGTGTTTTTTTAATGTTTCAGCAACCTCTATAAACCAAAAACCCAGCTTGACCGAAGAAAATTTGATGTTCCCACAGATTTTGATTCAAGTGGACTCCCAATTTATTCAAAATATGCCCTGATACAGACCGAGTCAATTATGAGCCATTTTACATTTTGAAACAGTCTTGTCTGCAAGAGCCTCTGTCTTTGATTATTTCATTTTAATAACTGGCCCAAGCTCTTTTGTGTCCTTCTGTCATTCCTATGTGGTGTTTAAAGTGTAAACCACATTATCGTATTTACACAATTGCCCTCTTCTAAGACCACCGAGTTAGTTCATTTCTTCATTTCTCTTTCATTTTCCACTGCTCTCTCCATGACATACTTACTGGTTTGTGCTTTTTTCTCCTTTCAGTGGCCTCCACTTTTTAGAGACATTGTTGGCTTGTCATCAGTAGCTGTGGTAGTCTGTGTCACCAAAAAGACTCAAATTCTTCCAGAAAAAGAATCGTTTCAATCATTAACAAATTTATCTGTTCTCAACCTAGTAAGTGTAAGTACACTTTTTAAGAGCTGTCATTGTAAAGGAGAATTTTATAGACACGGAAGTGCCAAATTTTTCATGTTATAGAAACTTGTTAATTAAATCATAACTTTCCATTTGTCTTATTTATACATGTTTCTATCTTGCATACTCAGATCTGTTGTGGTCTAGTTATGTACCAAAGAAGGTGTGATGTTGTTTTCAAAGTTAGGTTAACTGCATATCTGGAAGCTAGGGTATTTTGCTTTCACTATATTGCACTTTTTACCAGTGCTGTAAGACTTCAGCTAATCCTCCAACTCATAAACTTGTTGGGTATGTAATAATGTAACAGTCATGGAGTAAATTCTCCTCTAATCATGCAGTAAATTCTCATCAAATATTGAAATCAAATCAATAAATACTTTAAGGTTAAGGGCAATCAGTATCAATTTATTTTCCTGAACCTGAAAATGGATTCACCTCTGGCTTTGACTTGTCTGTCTTGATTAAGAAATGAAGTATAACAATATTGGTAAAGAGGCCATTCAACCACCGTGATCACTGATATTATTTAACCTGTTGCCTTCTTTGGGAATGTCTGCTTTTCAATGAACATGACATCAGCTTCTGTTTGCACTGTATTATGTTTGTCTGTGACTGAACTTGCACATGCGAATAGTCTGAACATACCACTTATCATGTTGTTAATTTTCTCAGTCAGATTTTTGTGTCGGTTGAGGTTTGGTTCCTTTTTACATGTACATATGTGGTTACAGACATGATATGGTAACTAAATAGAGTGGACAATGAATTGTGTTCCTTTTATGGTCTTTTTTTGTTCATGCTCATTTTTATCACTCTAGTACATAGATTTCAAAAGTGTCTTATTTGACATCTGATTGCTTTCTCTTGAATATGCTTGTTTTTAAGAAGATTAAGAAGATAATTATATCTCTGTCCTCATTCTAACTAATCTTACTTCGAGGACCAGTTCCTAATGGTCTGCTAGCTTTCAACTTTAGAGCTATGAAACTTTCTTAGTGCTTCTTAAGACTTTTTACTCTACTCTGGTTAAGTTAAAGGCAAGTTTTAACATTAAATTTTTAAAACCGCAATGTCTTTTAAAAGTTTTTTTTATTTGTCATGAGGTTTATGTCTCATTGATATTGTTGATTCTAATTATTTGCTGTAACAAATATATTTGCTAGTTAGTTATTACTTTTCATTAAATTTTATTTCAATTTTGCAGCTACAGAATGATGTTAAAAAATGTGCCATTATTTTCTTAGAAGAAGTCCCTATGAAGGTATATTATTAGTTATTTGGTTTTAAATGGTTGATGACACTCTTAATTCCGAATAACAGAATAGTTTCTCATTTTAAATGATTTTGAAACAAGTCAGCAGATCTATATTTTTTTTTGGTGACAAACTACTTCAGCAATTTAGACAATTTCCATAAAACTTAACTATCAGTGTAAAACTCTTTGCACACTAGGAAAATGTTGCACCTTGCTTGTCTGCAAAGTATGACGTCATTTCAGAGAAACTAGACAAATTTAATGTGCAAAAATGAACTTGTTTGCCTTCTTGCTGGGTTTTCTTAATGGGGCCCCATTTCTTATGTTTGTTTCAACGAAGTTCTGAATGAGTGTGTGAAATAAACTAACAACAATATTGTGATTCACCCTTCATTATGACAATAAACATTTATCTAAAAGAGATTTTATTCAAGTCTTCAGTTTGTATTCTATTTTCCAAGTTTATTGATATTCTTATCGTGGACTTCAAAAAGGCGGGTCCAATACTGGTAAAAACAACAAAAGTCAGGCAGGTAAAGTCTCTAGTTGCTATTGTGGAGTGATAATGATACATTTGTACATTGTTAATTAATTGAGATGGAAAATGAAGAGCAAAGCAGAAAACAAGGCTCTCCTGTGAGGTCTGTTTGTCTGTCTGTCTGTCTTTCTGTCTTCTCTCTGTCTGTCTGTCTGTCTGTCTGTCTGTCTGTCTGTCTGTCTCTCTCTCTCTCTCTCTCTCTCTCTCTCTCTCTCTCTCTCTCTCTCTCTCCCCCTCTCTTTCTATCTGCGTCTCTGTCAATATACCCCCTCCCCTCTTTTTTTTCTCTCCTCGCGCCCTCTCTGTCTCTCTTTTGTTCACAATCTGGGTTTTTTTTCGTCTGTCTATCTGTCTGTCCGTCTGTCTGTCTGTCTCTCTCTCTCTCTCTCTCTCTCTCTCTCTCTCTCTCTCTCTCTCTCTCGCTCTCTCTTTCTTTCTCTCTCTCTCTCTCTCTCTCAATATACCCCCTCCCCTCTTTTTTTTCTCTTCTCTCGCCCTCTCTGTCTCTCTTTTATTCACAATCTGGGTTTTTTCCGTCTGTCTGTCTGTCTGTCTCTCTGCTTCTATTTTTCCGTCTCATCAGGCACGTAGTCTTTATAATTCCCATTGTGCCGTAATGATAATACATCGTTTAGTTGTGACAGAAGGTAAAAAGAGCAAAGCAATTCAGATTCAGAGCATGTAGTAGCACCAGTAGAAAATGTTGAAGCAAATGAAGACTATAGGGAAGGCGAATCTGGCTATCTTGTCCACCATCCGTGCTCTTTCCCGCATGTGGGCTGTGCTGTTTGCCTCTTGTTTGTCTTTGGCGTTCTGCTGATAGAGAAAAAGACAGCGTCAAGGTCTTTCAGTTTAGTTTTAGTAAGGTTTTTACGGCGCTTGCAACTGCATAAGGTCATATTATGAGCGCCAAGGGGTGGATGTCAACAGAGAAGTCCTAACGGGGAATCAGGATTTCTCTTCTCACCTCGTTAGCTGAGCCTCAACAGCACAAAGTCTGCTTCGACTATCAAAGCACCCCGGAGATAGCAGTTCAGAAGAGAGTGACAAACATACAAGGAAAATGACAACTGTACAGTAAGGATGAGGAAAGAAAAAGCAGCAGTTCCCCCTATGTTTTTTCGGCACAGTATGAGCATGACATTGACAAGTCAGCCTATTTACGATTCTACTGTGCGTACGAACATGTTAATATCCCCCTTTTGAGAATGGCCTAAAGACACTTCAGTCAGTGGCACTGGCCTGGGGGGCGTCAGGGTCTGCACCTGGGTGGTTGGAGGGCGCCACTGGTAGACCCTACTTCTTTACTTTCCCTCTGTTATTTCTTTCTGTCTGTCTTACTTTTTCCCAGCACTAAATGAGCATTATAATGTTTCGATGTGCTTCGATGTTACTCAAACAAACAGACAACGGGTCTGCACCAAAGGCATTAGTAATTTGGTCTGCACTCATAAACGTAATGTTCAGCCCGCCGTTAGTGGACGGTTGGCGGGTGCTCTGGTGTGGTTTTCTCCTTCTATCCTATCAAATATCCATCACCCTTATCTCCCTCTTTTTTTTTTTTTTTTTTGGTGTTTAGTACTCTCTATTAAGGGGGGGGGGGGGGGAGGGCTACATCCCCAAAATCAAAATTCGGCTCAAAATCATGGAATTTGAGTTGTAGGCATTTTTAGCTTCCTCAGACTCTCCTACAACTATTTCATGGCATAAGAACCCCCAAAAACCGTATTTTTTCCCATACCGGGCATGTTTGTAACCGCCATTTCCTCATAAAGTCAGTATTTTATTTTTCTATATCGGCCGTTTTCTCAAAATGCTACTTTTCTCTATACTTTTTTGAATAACTCCACCATTTTTCATGCAATCTTCATGAAGTTTTCACAGAATGAAGAAGAGAGGTAATACTAAAAATTTGTCTGTTGAATTTTTGATATATGGAATAGATTTTTGTTGGTGGTGTCTGGAATGTGGATTTTCACGGATTTTTCGCAAACTTGAATGCTACCTCAGGAAAAAATTCATTAAAAATTTTCTAATTCGATTAGGATAAAAACAACAGACAAATTTTTAGATCTAATGTTTGTGAACACGCATGCAAAAAAACATTTAATTTCCATGAGCGATAAGTGCGGTATTCATTACGTAAGACATGTCAATAAAATCCAATATGGCGGCGTATCCATGGAAATCAAATTTGATTGCGGATTTCAAGAGTCCTTACTATGCTTGTTATATGTGTGAAATGTGGTAAAATTCGGTCCAGTGATAAGCGAGATAACCTCCAGGTGTAGCCCCCCCCCCTTAACACCTCTAACCGTGGACACTTACATGTCATTGTGTTGCAGGTGGCGTAAAACTCTTACTAAAACAAAGCTCGCCTTTTCGGACTGCTTGGAGGGGGCTCTCGTAGCCTAGAGGTTAAGGTGCTCGCCTCTCATTCAAAAGTCCCGGGTTCGAATCCGGGTAGCGACCGAAAATTGTCTTCTCTAAAAATGTATATCCTTTCACCTCCTTTCCTGCTCTCTAGCAAAGTTCTGTCGTCTGCTTTCAACTCCACTTTCTATCCCCACCCCCTCACCTCCTTTGCCCCCTCATCTGGGCTCCTGACTCTTTCTGCAGCCGTTCTACTGCTACTCTTTGGCTCCTTACTGCTGTCTTTCAGTTTCAGCCACACCCCTGATCTTCTGGTAGGAAAGATCTACACCTAGGCTTCTCGGACAAGGGCCAAAAATCTTGGAGGTCCCGTCGTGCAAGTTGGGCACGGTAAAGATCCCTTGGTGGTTTAAAATCGATAAGAGTAGGCTATGTCCGCCACCCGGGCAAAATTCAAAATTTCCTACCAACTGGAAATGCTTAATATGCCCCGCGCGCTCATATGACCGTATGCAGTTGCGAGCGCCAAAAAACACTTACCAAAAGAAAAGAAAGGACTGCTCGGCCGAGGGCAAAACATTTAGGGTAACTGTGAAGATCACAGTGGGGCCGAGGTTATGTCTTTCAGAAACAGGAAACAGCACTGTGACTATGTGGTCCTCATTATGCACGAAGCCAGAGGAGCTCAACCCGCTCATCACTCAACACCTTTTAACGTTCATAGATCTTCGAGTGTGTCTTTCCACGATACCCGCGAACGAACCTCTGTTATGTATCACACAAGAATCGCCCCCCCCCCCCCCCCGAAAAAAAAGAAAGAACGGAACTTGAAGAGAATTAGCTGGCTACCAATCACTCAAGTCGAGGAGTCAAAGATGATTTATACATCACATTTTGAAGACTGAATCTGATTTTTTTCTCAGCTCAAAAAGAAAATAGATGGTTAAGAGGCAAACACCCTCTGTTGACTCTCTGGGTATCTGGGTGAAGTGGGGAAAATTCGCGTAAAGTGTCTTTCCCAAGAAGGACACAACGTCGGGCCTGTGGCTCGAACCCCCGAGCTCGCAAAGTCACGATTACGAGTCAGGTAGCTTATCCACTAGACTACCGACCCCACACACTCACGCACACACACACACACACACGCACGACACACACACACACACACACACACACACACACACACACACACACACACACACACACACACAAAGAGAGATCGACAGTGTGCGAATGCATATGAACATAATAAAGGCCCCCACCTTGGTTCCAATAGCCCCATCTGTAGCCATGCGCACAGCCTCCCTCATGGTCATACGTCGTTTTTCTACACGTGCCGTCACATTCACGTAGGCGAACTCGAGGAGGGCAGCGAAAACGAAGAAAAGGCACGTAGCAAGCCAAACGTCGATAGACTTCAAATACGACACTCTTGGAAGGTTGGATTTAGCACCTGAGGAGAAAAGGGAATTGCATAATCAGGGCTTCCTGTTTGTTTGTTTTTTGTTGTAATATTATGTTATAAAGATACCGAATACTTGTATAGAATACGAGAGATTTAAACAATTGAGGTCCAAAAACAAATATCCCCCCCCCTCCCCCGTTATCCCCTGTATTATACGCAAGACATACAACCAGTCAGGATCACGACCAAAGTGGGGTTTGTTTGTTTGTTTGTTTGTCTGTTTGTTTGTTTGTTTGAGGGGGGGGGTGGCTAATGCAGAATAGGATTGTTCATCGAACTTATACCAATATTATTTTGAACATTTGACCGCTGGTGGGTGGTTTTCCTTCTCCTGTCGGCATTTCAAGTCATGCCGCGCAACCCAGTTGGAAGAGGAAGAGAAAAGGGCACGAGGCTGGCTTTAAGTTTAAGACAACCTGAAATAGGGTTTCGCGCATGTTGATTCTATCCAGCGTGTGAGAAATTCACCACCCTTTTGTACGTGCGACCAGAGACACTAAAATATGGTGCGAGCTACAAAAAAAAAGGGCATATTTTGGAGTCATAGTGCGGGTGATTGTAGGGCGTCACTGGTAGGTCGTACTTCTTTATTAAATCTCTGTTGTTTCTGTCTATCTGTCTTACTATTCCCAAACACTAAATGACAATTATTGGGTCGATGTGCTCCTCTTTGCTCAAACAAACAAAATAAGAATCACAATATGCTTATAAGCAAGGTCGTGTTAAAGGCTGGTCGTGAAACCGATTCCAACCAACCCAGAGTTATAACAATGAACTTGCGATTTCTATGACTTAGAAACAGTGTTAGTAACAGTGCTATATATTTTACTTTGCCTAATACTACAGCGATAGCCAATTTATTGTAGCAGTTGACACAACAACCTCGGGCACACCAACAAAAATAATCTTTCAAAGACGCAAAAGAATAACTATTCAAAAAGATAAATACAGTTAGTGAAACAATGCAAAACAGACAGACTGGGGGTGGGGGACTGAGAAAGACACACACGCACACACACACACACACACACACACACACACACACACACACACACACACACACACACACACACACACACACACACACACTCTCTCTCTCTCTCTCTCTCTCTCTCTCTCTCTCTCACACACACACACACACACACACACACACAGAGGGAGCATGAGAAAGAGGGAGCGAGAGAGAGTATGTGTGTGAGTGTGTGTGAGAGAGAGTACAGTGGAGAGAGGGGGGAGAGAAAGAGAGAGTGAGAGAGAGAGAGAAAGAGAGACAGACAGAGAGAGAGAGAGAGAGAGAGAGAGAGAGAGAGAGAGAGAGAGAGAGAGAGAGAGTAGAAGGGTAAGATAAAAGAGGAGAAAATAAGAAAGGCAGAAGAAGAGAAACGAAAAGGAACAACCCCCCCCCCTCCCCACGAATAACAGATGGTGAGAACATGACCATGCCTATGTGTGTGGGGGAGGGGGGGGTTGTGTCTTTGTCTATTTATATGAACTCTCTGTATATGTATTCATGCTACACGTGTGTTTATAATACACTAAGGGTTTGGTGATGCATGTTTTCTCTGTGTGCAGAGTGCAGTCGCATTTGCATGTGTTCCTACATGTGTGAGTATGCTGTGCATGCGAGGTGCACGTGCGTATAGGTGTAAGTGACAACAGACCTACGCTCATGGTGGTAGTCGTGAGTACAGTCAGAAGCCCGAGAGAGATGCGTGCTGGGATGGCGTTGATGTCCAGCCAAAAGTTGACCCAGGATAAGCTCACGACGAGAAAGCTTGGCACATACACCTGGGGAACGTAACAAAGGAAAAAACAGGTCGGTAAAAATAAATCCGCTCCCCTCCCCCCCCTTTTCCCTTCAACTTTTCTTTTTTTTTTTTAGTTTAGGTAAACGTTTTACGGCTCTTGCAACACATTAGGTCATATAAGCGCCGAAGGTAGGAGGTATTACTATACTAGAGAGTAATAGACACACAGAATAAAAGAAGGAGAGATAAGGACGATAGATATTTGATAGGAAAGAAGGCGCAAACCACACGTGAGGATTTTAACATCTTTATTTATTTATTTATTTATTTATTTATTTATTTATTTATTTATTTATTGTGAGGGATTGGAAGGAAGATAGAGTCATTGAGCATGGAGTAGTAGCAATATGAACTCACCTTGTCAGCTTAATATGTTTACTGTCTATACCCCTCCCATCCTCTCCCAATGGACCTGAGTGATTTATTTAATTCTAGAACACGACGTAGTACCCGCTCTCTATATCTCAGAAGGACGATAGGATGCGAGAACTTGCGTTGATCAGGATTTTCTCTAATTGTTATAATAAGCACCCCCAAAACTGTTTAAAAATGAAGACTCATACGTGAATGAGTTTTGGAGAAAAAAAACATTACCCAAATGAGGAAAAGAGCACAGATGAAGAGAAAGACAGACTCACCACCACAAGGTTCTGGGAGAGAGAGGAGGAGGACGGGAGGGAGAGAGGGGGGGGGAGAGGGGGAATAGGGAGGTGAAGAGAGAGAGAGAGAGACTCAGAGAGAGAGAGAGAAAGAGAGAGAGAGAGAGAGAAAGAGAGA